CCTGAACTCAAAACCATAGAAGAAAGCACTCCACTATTTTTTTCAAAGAATGCATGACAATTCAAAGATAATAAAAAAAAAAGGAATCTGTGGAGAGTCATGATCACTTAACTGCTAAAGGGACATAACATGATTTTAAAATTAGACTATCAAACATTATCTTTTGTGGTCGGAATTAATTTAGAAACACTGTATTCATAAAAGCTGCTGATTATCAGCAATGAAACGTTTTGGCACTTTGATCAAAACTGAATGGTGAGGAGAGATTTTCTTATCTCATTAACTCAAGAAAAATCAAGGTAAGAAGTTACTTTTAATTAAAGAAAAAAAAAAAAATAATATTGTTTAGAAATTTAATTATGTATATATGAAATCTATTGTCAGATGATTGGCAACTAAACCAAGAATAACTACACTCCAATTTCTTGTGAGTGAGCGTAGGTTTTAGCAATCCTGTAGAATGAAAAATGAAAAGACCTATGAAAGGGTGGAAGAACTTTTGATGATTTAACGACTAGCAAAGTAGAGGTCTTGTCTCAATACAAATCACCGTGGAGAAGGCAATGGAAAATCACTATCAATTCCAAGAAAACTCTTGATGCAAGAGTGCATAACTTACTTAACGAGCTTGTGTTAATGGACGGCAGAACAGAGTTTAGGAGAGATAACAAAAAGACAAAATGTATTAAGAGCTATGAAGGATAGGAAATTGTGGAGAGCCATGATTGCTAATACCTAGAAGGAACATGACACATAGCAGAAGAAGGATCTAAACTAACAAGCAAAATCATATAACTGGTTTGTTTGTTTTTGGATGGGGGGGGGTCAATGACCAAAGTAAATTTTTGATAAACAGTTAATACTTTCAAAAGGGTTTATCAAGTACATAGCACAGTTAATAAGCTGTCATAAAAACATGCTTTAATCAGTAGATCTTATTGATAACAAAAATAGACAAAGAAACATGTGGTTAATAATTAAACTACTGTGAATAAACAAATAAATGAAAAGATTTTATTGTTCTAATGGCTTTCAACAGGGAGAGATTATATATATTAAAAAATAAAATGCCTTTATGAACAGCTTTGAAGAAAGGTATTGATTTGTGGTTTCATTGTGAAATAACTAAAGAATTATCTGCATCAGAAATTTCAGTCATTTATTTAAAACCATGCTAAATGTACATAAAGTAGAAATCATTCTTTATGCTCGTCAAAGTAAAACTCACACTTTGTCTCTTTTTAACTAAGTTATCATGTTGCAACTTGAAGGCACAATCTTGAAAAAGTTATTTCTTAATTGAACATGAAAAACATTACCAAAGTGAAAAGAATTCTGTCTCTTTTATATTTCCCCTTTTCAATACATTGCTGCCCTTAATGAATGTTTTTTTTTCTTGAGGCCTAGAAAACCAAAGTGCAAAGAAAGAAGAATGTTAAGTCTAAACATAGTTTCAGACAAATGGTACCACAAGAAAAAAAATGTCCAATCATGATATATAAATGATACAATTTTCCACAAACACAAAATCAGGCCTCATGATTTACTAATAAAATATTCCATTGTTATGACAACACAAGATATCATGAAAACAGTTTTTTAATTCCCTAGATATCAAAGTCATAACAGCAAAAGGATAATTGTGATGAAAGTTGAATGGCATTAATATAGTTGGGGGAATGCGTGTTGGAAAATTTGATACAGGAGAGATTGAAGGGACCATGAAAAACAATGTATTATCTACCTATTGGGCTTGAGTAAGTGAATGACAAAAGAGGGGTTAGGAGAGATAACAAAATTTATTAAGAGCTACAAAGGACAAGAAATTGTGGAGAGCCATGATCACCAACATCCTGAAGGGACACAACAGAAAAAAGTCATTAGTGATATCCCAAGTCTTCATAAATATTGAAGCTAATTTGATTTAATATCCAAGTGGTCAATTAGATTTTTTCCCCTCTTTTTAGTCAAAAACTGAATGTCAGTGTGATAGTCTACAACAATCCACACCCAACAAGTGTTTATTGTTTACTCATAAGCTGAATAGACAACTTCCTGATTTGTTCATAGAATTCTGAAGCAAACAAGATTTCCTAAGTAGAAAAGAACAGCCAATTCCAGAATAATTCCAATGCAGAAACTGAAGATGTACATTCCTGCTACATATTAATATATCAACCAAAGTGATGTGATTTGCACAAACTCATGTAAATATTTTGTACATTACTATTATATTTATTGAAACAGGATTTTTAAAAAAATTGGTTTCTGCTTGAAACACTGATAGAAAAAAATGATATGAACAAAAAGAAAGAGAAAGTTTCACAGATAATATCAAACAGGTGAATCTCTCTCCCTCTCTCTCACATTATGTGTGTGTGAATAAAATAGACAATAGGAAAGTAGTACTTATTTTTGCCTACACATTTTGTTATCCAATTTTATCAAGGCAAATGATGATAAACAAAAGCGAAATGTTGTATAGTTACTTGAAATTCAAAAAATTTAAAAGACACTCCTGCAAAATTTTTGAATTTTGAGTAACTATACAACATTTCACTTTTGTTTATCATCATTTGCCTTGATAAAGTCGGATGATGAAATGCATCCGCAAACTAAGTACTGTTTTTCCATTGTCTATTTTATTCAATTTGTCCTTTCTATAGGTATATTCTGAGATATCTATATATATATATATATATATATATATATATATATATATATATATTATACAGCAAAAAATCCCAAATTACCTCATGTGGGTATGGTCTATTTCAAACCAACCCAACCTTGTGCCAGTCCTCCTCAGCCCTGGACTGAGTTTGTCTTGGAATCAGAGGTTTGGAATTTAATTTAGATAGCAGTTAAGGAAAAGGTACAGGCCTACCCAAAGAGATGCCTCATCTAGATAAAAAGTGTGAGTTCAATACCCGGTTAAGGCAGTGGAGAACTTATAGAGGGGAATTAACAGGAGATAACTGATAACTGACATCCATTAAACATGGCACATGGAACTAGAACAGTTTACCCCAGTGAGCGAAATAAAGGGTTCAGTTTGATATTCCAACCACCTGAAGAAGGCCGGAGTGTACAATGGCTGAAATGTAATAAATATGGCGACAAAGTCAAGAGTTACTAAATAAAGCAGAAGACTACATTCTCAACAGTATTTAACCTGTAAAAAACATAACCTGTAATACATATATAGTGCACGCTTTGTTCTCAGTTACTTGGTGCTTCCTTTATGTATAGGGTGACAGTGATTTGGAGACCTAATTGGGAGACATGTTCAAAAAACACTCGGCCAAGCCTATCATTCAAACTAAATAATATTAAATTCAACATGAAATATAAACTGTAATCGAATACAGTTTTAGGGAACATTTACTGTAATATGGGTCATGTACTACCAAAAAATATTTATTTTTGCATATTAGATTAAATTTTTGCTCATGTTGAAAATGTATTATACAAACAAAACTGTCCTTTTGTTGATATTTACAATTCTGTTGATAATGCAGGTAGGTAAGAGTAACATTAATGAAGGAGCAAGCAAAATGAGGAACTATTAATTCCTAATAAAATATTCACTATATAAAAGTGCCTGAAAGAATAGTCAATTGTAAAATTCATGGCCCTTAAATTTAAGATGTATTAAACCTTTAACTGAAAAAGGAGGAAAAAACATCTAAATATAATTTCTTTTGAAAGAATAAAAAAAGTGTTTCCAAAATAAAATGTATAGAACTATGTATTGAGGAGTTGAATTTTCTTTTTGGAGTAAGTTCCAGCTGCTTTTAGCTACTATTGAAGGTCACCTCCCAAACTTTAAAATATTCTTTCCAGAAAAATATCAAAGAGGCATAAAACATTCCAGGATTCAGAACATTTCTACCAAAAAGAATTCAATTGCATCAATCCATAGAAAAAGTTGTTAAACTGTACCTGTAAAAGCAGACGTTCATCCCCCCAGATGACGGATTTATTCCAGTCAATGACCTCTGAGAATGGCAGGATCCATCCATTGCTCAACAATACTGGGACACACGCAGTTTGCAAAGCTTCTAAATACCTGTTAATAAAGGAAAAAATATTAATTAAAAATTTTGCAATTAACTTAAACCATCAAATTTTTAAATTCATAATTAAAACCTATTTACAAAGGCATGATTATTTATCTCTTGCTGGTGGGATTATCTAAAAATGCATTGAATCCAGAAAGTTCATAAGGAGTTGCAGTTTCCTTCAAGATTTGGTTAAAAAAAAAAAAAAAGAAAGAAAGTTTAATTTTTTTTTTCTTCCAGAACATTTTAATCTTCTTGTCTTTATTTCTCAGTAGACTTACCACAATATTATCATCCTGACAACAAATTTAATGATTTCATTTTTTTTTGCTGGATCAGCAAAATGGACTTTTTGTATTTGGGTTAATGGATCTAGATCTAGATTTCCAAAGTAAGGGGAAGATCATGATATCTATCTGTGAACACACATTCTTCAAGTTTTTTGACAATTTCTGGTGTGAATGTCTTTTGAAAAAAAGAAAAAATATAATGAAATTTTTGGTAAGATTTGGGCACAGAAGATTCTCTAAATGCATTGCCTGCAATTAAGGTTAATTGAATTTCAAGAAACCTAAATATATATTCATTCATGAGGTCAATGGAGACTAAAACAGCAAAATTGTGCCCAGATATTTAAAAGCCGAAATGAGAGGGAAATGAGAAGGAAGAGGAAGGACTTCATTTAAGACCAATCTTTAGCAGAAAACAAGAATGAAATCTGTTACATTCAGTTTTAATTCTTTGCCTTTACAATGGCAAGACAGAATGGAGGAAAGAGAGCAAATGAAAGCAAGGGGAAAAAGAAAAAAACTAAAAAAAAACTAACTTGACTAAGAGAGGGGAAATTTTTTTTTTTTTTTTTTTCACTCCTGCTCTCTTTATGATGTTTGTTTTTTTTTTTATATAGAAAAAAAAGGAGGGAAATGGTATAGAAACAAAAACATTTAAATGCAAAAGAGAGAAATAGAATGATGTAAGAGAGAATAAATTCAAAGAGAAATGGAGGAAAGAAAGCGAGAGAGAGAGAAATGGAGGAAAGAAAGCGAGAGAGAAAGAAAGAGAGAAGAAAAAGAGAGAAATGAAAGAGAGAAAAGAGAAAATGAAGAAAGAGAAAATGGAAGAAAAGAGAAAGAGAGAAATGGAAGAAAGAGAGAGAAAGAGAGAAATGGAAGAAAGAGAGAGAAAGAGAGAAATGGAAGAAAGAGAGAGAAAGAGAGAAATGGAAGAAAGAGAGAGAAAGAGAGAAATGGAAGAAAGAGAGAAATGGAAGAGAGAGAAAAATGAGAGAAATGGAAGAGAGAGAGGGAGGTTGAAATGAAGAAAACTTGGAGAAAATAGAAAGAGATAAGTAAAACAGGGGGAAAAAAAAAACACCAACATTGACTGGTATTGCATTGCACACGTCCACCCGCACATTCACGTGTGTGTGGGTGTGCATGTAGTCTCTGTTCTGTGATTAAGTATTAAGCAGATTTAATTAGACAATGAAATTGTCACACACATCTGCTTTTTAGTGGTTCCTCATTTGACTGCATTTGTCTTTCAACAGATTTGGTGGGGGGAGGGAGGGAGGGGAGGGAGGGGGAGAAGAACAAAAGATACAAGAATCAATGCAAGAATTAAGACTAGAGAACATCTTGTTGCCAGAAAGGCCGACAAGAAAAGCAAAAAAAAAAAAAAAAAAAAGAAAGATCTTTTGTCTATGGGACGTTATTATTCAGACTAATAATAGAATCATCTCTATTGTTTATTTATTTGCTGTAGTTAAAGATGGGGATTGGTTTTGTGTCTAGTCAAGTACCAAATTACCATTCCACTTAAAGAATTTTAAAGACAAAACAAAAGAAATAATACACTACAGAAATTCATCATTTATGAATTTATAAAGACTGATATCTTCCTCTTTATTATTTGTATTGTCACAACAAATTCGATTGGCACTTTTTCAAATCATTTTCAGGTGACAGTGTTCCACAGTCAAAAACAGATGAGAAATCAGGAACTGAATTTGAGAGTGTAACATCACTTAATACTATTTAAAAAAACCAAAAAACAAAAAAAACCTTCAGATTAGCAACAAAATGGTGGGGCTTGTCTTATTGCAACAAGTCAGTTAGTTCTTGGGTACTTTTATTTAATTATTTTATTTAGCTGTCCCAATTTTCATATATGCTTGAGTTTGAATTTGCTGTTCACTAAAACAAACAAATACCTTGCCATTGAGTTGAACTTAGTGCATATGTGAAAGTTCTCAGGTTCATTGTTTTATATACAGAATTTATTTATAAAAATATGAAGAGAAGTAAAAAAAAATGTTTACCAAGAAGAAATTATATAATGGTCTTAAATAAATGCTTATCATTGGTTCTGAGTTTTTAACCCTTTCTTTATAGGGCAGTATGGTTCATAAACCAGTATAAACAAAATACATTTTCAGTATTCCCAAAAAATTATACATACATATATACATGTGTTTCTTCAGAACAGAGGTGATGATGCTTTTCTGCAACATCCATTTTTTCCTTTAATATATGTAAATTCTGAATTAATGGTTGTTCTTGTAAAAGGTGGAGTGGTTTCCTACTGCCCTCTCCATGGTTCTGAATTGAAGTTGCCTTTCTCCTAAACTACCTGCCTGAGCTTAAGCATAAATAACCTAGTCAGTCCTACTGTGGGAAGAAGAGACAGATCTAGGCTCTTACTAAAAGCATTAGTGCAAAGTAAATATAATAACTTTAGCTGGAATTTGAACTCGACATGACAGTTTCAGTCACTGTACTAATAATCATTATGTTACCTGCATGTTCCTTTTCAGGATTACAGAAAAATTTCAGAATTATCCATAAAATAAATTGATTGATTTGTTTTTATGGTTTATCAACCCTTTTTCAGGTTATTTAAAGCCAGAAAATATTTTTAGATGGCAAGAATTTTTTTATTTTTGGAAATAATAATGATTTAGTGAAACAAGTCTTACTAATTAATCCCTAGTTGTGGGGAGAAGAGGCAGATTCATACCTTCCCCAAGAGTATTTGCATGTAAGTGAATATAATAAAACCAACTGGAATTGGAACTCACATCTTTGATTAAAAATTCTCAGCAATTATCCATTATACTACTTGCACATTCAAACTTAGAGCACTTGGTATTTCCAAGTGGTCACCCCTCTAGGTACTGGCCAGGCTCAATGTTGCTTAACTTCAGTGATCATATGGGAATCAGTGTTTCAACATGATATGGCTGTAAGCCCTCCATAAAACAGATTTATTCATGAGGAAGTAAATTTTAATAAATGTGATACAGTAAAAAGTGGAATATAGAAGACAAGAGAGTGAGTAATGATTATTTTAGTGCAAACAAGACTTGTCTTTTACTGCCCGTTTTATACACTATTTACATTATTTGGACTATTGTCCTCATCTTTGTTGCCATATTTATCACAAGGTTGTGATAAAGGCATTGGATCTAACCTTAAGGACACATGGCATAGTGGATAAAGGCGTTGGTTAGATCCAGTGACAGGACCCAAAGAGTTGTGAGTTCAATACCCAGTTAAGGCAGTGGAGAACTTAGAGAGGTGAATTAACAGGAGATAACTGATAACTGACATCCATTAAACATGGCACGTGAAACTAGAACAGTCTACTCCAGTGAGCGAAATAAAGGATTTAGTTTGACATTCCACCACCTGAAGAAGGCCAGAGTGTACAATGGCTGAAACGTAGCAATAAATATGGCAACAGAGATGAGGACAGTAGTCCGAATAATGTACATAATACCTCATCTCAGAAATATAGACAGATACCCTTTTTATACCTGTTAATAAGAAATTCATATTTATCTCATATTCACATTTCTAACTGAAATACAACATCAAAAGAATTCTTCTAATCTTTGTATCAAGAATAGTAAGTAATTATGAGATTTAAAATCAAATTACATTCATTTTCTGATGACCTGTAGAAAAGAGCCGAGATTTAATCAAAAAGATCTGTTGACTCATTTTCATATAAGAACAACAGAAATGAGAGTCACAAATTTACTTAAACGCAGTGACATGATTGAACAGGGAGACTTTCCTTCTGTTAACAGCAGGACAATTAAGATTTGGCGCCAATTTTAATTTTCAAAATCACCTTTGCATACAATTGCATATTAAGCTTCAACAAAAAGGGGAAATTAATTTTGAAATTTAACTGACTCATTATAAATATTCCTAAGTCATATTTAAATTATTCCAAGTTCAATAGAAAAGTTCATTTTTGTGAATGGACAAATTTTTTCAAGTTTTATCAAGAAAGATTCTTAGGTTGCAAACCAAAAACAATAACATTCTCAATCATATGTTAATTTTAATCCTTTCTACAAAATTCTAAAAGATATGCAAATTTCATGTTAGCACTTAATTTCAGTAGTAATCCTATTTGCTAATAAATGGTTTCATGCCTTCATTTCTAAGACTAACTTGAAACCAAATTTAAGTTATTTCAAGGTTTTTTTTGCTTCTCACATTTTCTTTCATATCAAACATTTGATTGAAATATCAATACTTCTATGATTAGAAGGGGGTCTGCATAGAAATAGAATGAAAGTTAAATAACATCAAATAGTAGAAGTTTCCTACTTGATCCTGAAGAGAGAATACAGATTCAATTCCAAAATTTGGGTTCACTAAAATTCTGACTATTCACCAATTTTTCAAAATCCAAACAAGCTTCCATTGAATGGCCATGAGAGAAAGAAACAGAACGAGACTACGAGTTTCCAAATCAAACAACATAAGTTCAGGAGATGAAACCCTTGAAAGTTTGTTAACAGTAAAACATTTCCCATTCATACATCAAGGGTGAGAAAACAAAACCTGTAAAATTTATGAAACCTTTGAAATAAAGCCTATTAATACAAAAGAATATTATTAAGATTCAAATATAACATCAAAACAATTTATTTAATATTCTTCAATTACAACCTTTACACAAACTTGAAAAGCTGTGTTACTCTTAAGCACAAAGACCTTGATCATCTTGGACCACTCCGGTTTAATGGCAACCTTGAAGGAATATATATTTGAGAGTAGGAGGTCATGTTGATGGCTTCTCAAAACAGCCCATATAGTTTAGTCTAGTGGAATCAGGTCCGAGTTGGAGGACCACTAAAAAATCAGCAAAATTATCATTGCAGAACTTATAGTATAAATTAGTATCCACCATGTTTGTAGGTAAATGAATGGACATATTTTTCACTGCTTGAAGCCACAATAGTCAAGCCCATGACCTAAACAGGATGCTTGATCCTGAAGGTACCTTCAAAACTGTTGATTCTGTGAGGTACAATTCCTTTCAGTGCTTCAAAACAGTCTCCACTGGGAATATTTCCTTGTCAGAAAATATTTTAAGTGACCCATTTTTGATTTAAGATACTTGAATATTTTCTCGTACTTTTTCAGCCATTTAGGCTTCACGGATTTTATGAGGAGGTGCTTTGGCAACCTGGCACGTGATTTCAGGCACAAGTCAGCAGTCATGGATATTCTGATATCCATTTTTACATCCATGCATAGCTATCCTTTGCATGGATGTTGATAATTTTTTTTCTTTCCAATTTTAATCTTGAGAGTGTTAATAAAGTCCAAATTTTATTTTTGGTTGACCCCACCACTTCCTAGCTATCTCTGGAAGAATGTACGCTGACATTCAAAACAGGTATGCAAGCATTCTCTAATTAGAGAATTGATCTAACAGAATCATGCTTGCTCCATTCATCCTGCATTTATTATTTGACCTTGTGCCATACTGAGTGCTAAGTTTATTAACTATCATGAGGTAGGAGTCCACAAACTTGGAAACTTTATGGCATGATTCAATTTGAATATGTAAGAGAGACAAACTTAAGATCTCTGCAAATACTAATTCTTGCCTTCTGTAGTTGGAATCAGGCTAGTCAGTTGACCAAAACTGAAGAAATGACAGAATCTTTATTGCTTTTTCTCAAAGACAGTTACAAAATTTAGAAATAGTGATTCTGGTATTATTTTTAGAGTATGTGGTCTAAGATACGAAAGTAGGACTTAAACTGTAAAAGTGAAAAAGAAAACAAAGTACAAAGAGTAAAGGAAAATTCCAAAATGTCTGGGTTAAAAACACAGCCAAAGTCATCAGTCAATTAATTGCATCCACTACATTAGTTTTTATTTTCTGGTTGAAGAAAGGTTTTACATCCTCTCCTGTCTGAATGTGAAATGGTATTCAAACAATCTCACTCCCCTCTCTTTCTTTTCCATAGGTATCTTAAGAGTTTGAAAACTTTTCAAAAACACTAAAGAGTGTTTAGGTCAAAAGTGGATGTCACTAGAGAGCAATGATTAGTCTCTTGGTCTTTTGCTAATGTAATAAATTTGAATTTCATGAGATACTTCATTACTGTGGTCCTGTGTCAGACTAGAAATAACTCCCAGGCCACTTGCAGAATTAAAGGATGAGACATGATAATATTACAACTAGACTGGCTTTTTATTATCTGAAATATAGTAGAATTACTATAGTTTCCATTTTTTAAATTTTTTTAGGTAAAGAATTATTATTATGCATTGTTTTACTAAAATTGGTGTCTTTTCAGGGTTATTATTGTCACTATGATTTGACTGTTATATTCTGCCTTCTTCTGACATCTGTCAAATTGGTAAACCTCTGGGAATTTCAAACTGAACACCTTACATGATTTCATTGTTCTTATTCTGTTCTCCACTTATCAGTTAATGCTTCTAAGTTATTGCTTGTCTGTCTCGTGCTGTAAGCCAGAGAATGAGCTCACTACTACCAAGTAACTAGATATACTAAACCAATGTTTACATCTTATGGTGGTAGAAATTAACAACCACAAATGCAATGTTCCATATTTGTTTCTTCAATTTACTTAGGTCATATAACATTTTTCACCCCTTGTAGTTTAATCTGGTAGTATAACTATGGTAGACACCAAAAGAAGTATAAAATGGTACAAGGGGCAAAATGTTATGACTATAAAAACTAAATAACCAATATGTGGGCATCAGTCTGAGTAAATTAGTGTACAATAATCATCTTTCAGTTGGTCATTAGTTTGGCAGAAAGATAATGTTTCAAACATCTCAGTCTTGCTTATACTGATCTATAAACAAAAATTTAGGTAAATATTGCCAAATTTTATAGAAGGTAATTGTTTTTCCAAGCAAATGTACATACAGCCATTGCAAGTGATACTATTCATTGAACAACAGTGTGTTTAAATCTCTTAGTTGTGTTGTGATGCCCTGCTATAGTAACAGAAAAAAACCCTGATGGAAAACAATGGGGATACCACAGTTGATGGGGTTTGAAAAAGAATGCAATGGAACAGAAAGTAATACTCATGAATAATGCAGAATGCTAAAGATAAACTATATCTACAATCACCAAGGTAACTTTCTTTTTCTTTTTTCTTTAAAATCACAATTAGTAATGATAGTTCTGAAGTTAATAATAACAATGTTTCTTAATTACAAGAGCATGTTTCTAGAAAAATAAATGTTTTTATTATTGTTTTCAGATATTCCATTTAAAATCAGCACAAACCTAATTCAATTCATTTTTTCTTTTTTTTTTTTTTAATGAGAAACAGTGTTAAGAAAAGTTCATTTCTAACTGAGAGAACATATTTTATTAAATCATGTGGCATATCCATCACACAATTATAACTTATCAGGTACAAAAGCATTTCTTTTTATAAATTATAAAGAGATTAAGAAAATAGCTGAAACCTTTTTGAACTTTTGCTATATCTTAATAATCATCAAAATAAGTTCTATTGCTTACTGGCCTGTATCAAGGTTGAAAAGCAGTGTAACAGCTTTTTGTTGCTACTGCTAGACAGATTGGGTAGTATCTGTCTGAGATGAAGTATTATGATTACTTGCATTATTCGGACTATTATCCTCATCTTCATTGCCATATTCACGTTTCGGCTGCTGTATGCTATGGACTTCTTCAGGTGATTGGAATTTCGAACTGAACCTTTTTTGTTCACATGGCCCAGTGGATAAAGATGTTGGTTAGATCCAGTGATTAGACCCAAAGCGTTGTGAGTTCAACAGCAGGCCACAGCAGTGGTGAACCAAAATCTTGGAGAGTTAAGTTAAAGGGAAATAACTAAGACATCTGAAAGAGTCATGACACTTGGAACTAGAACAATCTACCCCGGTGGATGAAATAAATGGTTCGTTTTGAAATTCC